TTTTTGCACTTTCAGGCATGCTCTGCTGGCACTTTAACGTGAGTTCTGGACTCAATTAGAGTTTTAGGTTGTAGGTCTGATTTAAGTCTGTAAGAAACTAGAGAGTTCTAGGGATTGGAACCGTTCTAGCCCTGTGCAATATCATTTGAAGTGCTGAAATTGATAAATTTCGATTTTTTGCACTTTCAGACATGCTCTGCTGGCACATTAAAGGGAGTTCTGGACTCGATTAGAGTTTCAAATCGTAGTTCTGATACGACTCTGTGAGAAACAAAAGAATTCTAGGGATTGGGCCAGTTGTAGCCCTTTACAATATCATTTGAAGTGCTGAAATTGGTATGCTGGATTTTTTTTTTCAATTGAATTTTTTAAGGTTAAATCGCCAGAACTATTTCTAAAAATTATCAGGAACTGTAGAACTAACTTATATGTAGTAAGAACTGACGTTTATTTATGATCTGCTAGAAATTGATCTGCTGCCGGAAGTTGGCAGATCATTTTTTTAATTGTCTTTTTTTAAGGTAAAAACGCCGGAACTATTTCTAAAAGGTGTCAGGAACTATAGAACTCAGCTGCATGCAATGAGAACTCTCATTTATTTTTGATCTGCTGGACAATGATCAGCTAAGTTCACTGACATTTGGTATTGTTCGTCGAATCAGTTAGCCTCACCTGTTAATTGAGCCGACTGTAAACCGACACATGCGTACTGCCTTCAGAACGGGTCCGCTCAAACTGTTGTGGTTCTTTCCTCAAAAGGCCACTACAGAAAGAACTTGCACGGTTCTCACACATAATCTTTTATACATATTGTCTGGACTTTAAAAGAGACAGACCTCTGAGTTTGTTTCGGCATTTCTTCTCAGAGTAGTCAGTTAGGAAATGTCGACCTCATCGTTCGCTTGATAAAATTGACGTGTAAAAGTGCTGCTTTGTAGCCTATTTGCAGAAATAAATTCACTTGTTTCACTTGTTTCACTCACTTGTTTCACTTGTTTCACTTGTTTCACTACAACACAGCTTGCAGTATTGGGTTTTGTTTGATAATATAATATTTTGAATAAACATAAAATTGGACTGCAGCTGGAATTTTATCTCAAGTCAGTGCGAATTAATCACAATCGTGACCCTGATTCTTAGTGGATGGTAAAAGCCAAACAATACTCAAATAATTCATTTAATTATAATTAAGTAGGTATTATTATATAATTTGTTTATTTTATAATTTCAGAGGGTAAGTAGTGGGTTTAATTCCTGCACGGAAAGCAACTCTTTCTGTGATCCAAAAATTGTTGCTCTGGGTCTAGGTGTCATGTGTATGTGAACTTGTAGGTATGTTTGTAAACACACCCACGGTACAGAAGAATATCCTAATGTGGAAAGATTCTCAAAAACCAACTAAAATAAAAATAATTTGCCCTTCGTATACGAGCACTAATTAATTCGTTTTCTATTACATTAATTTACTCTTGTGATTAAAATAATTATTAAAAGTAATCCTATTTTAATATTTTAAGTTATACTATGAGTAACTAAATACAGCAAATAATTACTTAAAGATATTGTTTTTTTTCTAAATAGGTAGTTTTTAAACTGTCAAACACCAAGCGGTCACCGGTGACCGCAACCTATTGTTCTATAATTGTATCTACAAAACCGGTACTCGACGAGTTAAATATGGTTTGCATTCGGCCGAACAGTATCCAGCATTAAGCTAGTTTGTATTAATGCGGGATGTTTAGTGGATATTTGTTTCAAACTTCAAATTCACCATTGAACACCTCCATGAGCAACCACAGCCCGAAACCAATGCAAATTTGAAAAACCAAATCAAAATTCAAGGCGTAAACGAGACTTTAGTAAAATACATTTCTTTTGTTTAAAAGTGTGAAGTCGAGTGACTTGTGGAAATAACCATAATAACTCGGAAAGTCACATTGGTACTCCCAGGTTTGGAACCCACATCCACTGTATGAAGCAAGTGTCTTAAACCTAGAGATCACGATAACAGTGATATTTTCCCTGGTTAAGCACTAGCCCCTAACATCAGTATCAATAAAATAAATAGGATTAATATAGGTATTTTTTAAAAACCAAGGGAAAAATATACGTAAACATCTGAATAGCATTGAATATTTTGTCTATTTAAAAACTATTTTGTCCTTTTTGTGTTTATATACAATAAATGTGTAAAATAAATAAATAAATATTTTCTAAACAATACATTTAACATTTACATGAGCTCACTAAGTATATCCATTGACCAAGTTTTTCGTTTTCCATAGATTGAGTTTACACCCAATTTAGGCAATTTATATTTTTGAATAAATTGCTCGCCTGTGAAGTTGTTCAAAATGGAGTCACAGTGACACAGTCCCAGGTGATGATTTACAAAACTCAAATAGCCGCTCGAAGTTGACAATGTTGACATAACCAAACAAAACAAAAAACTCACGACAGACTAATACCAACTGACCAAATTCTAGAAAGCATGAAGCTTTTTCAAAAAACATTTTGGGATAATTTGTACCTAGACAATAATGCACTCATAAAAGAATGTTTTGTGAGTTGTTGATAACCCATAATGGCGCTCTTCCTAACGAAAGTGACACAAAACGATCATAAAACACTATCTCGTATCGAAATTTTTTACCATACTCAAACACAACACGAATGCCTTGACATCTCAGTGCTTAAAGCGAAGCAGTAACAAAATATTTATTATTAAAATAGAAAAATAGGTACAGGGTCAAAAACACGTTCACGAATAACGACAGATGTTCGCTCCGAGTATTTCACTATTTCCGATGGTTCATTCCAGTTCAGCGGCAGCGAGTGAGCGGGCTCAGCACTTCGGCAGCTGCGTTCGCGAATTGCGTCTTGCCGTTGCGTCAAACAAAACAATGAATATCATCGACAATTTGACTATTTTGACAGTTTGACAGCAAGTCATAAAGTCACATGTCACAAGCACAAGATTAAGACCATAGAGTTAAATCTCAGACAAAAAGTAAAACCCTTAGTCTATGAGTTAAATACTTCTTTCTTCTTTTTAAAATACCGATCACAAACAAAGAATTAAACTAAACCTCCGAAAATTAATAGGTAGATTATAGCTTATGAATAAACGTTTAACATTTTACTAACGTAACTGTTATTATTATTTATTTATATACCTTTAAATCACACATGTAAGCATGTTATAATTTAAGCCCCACAAAACTGTTGCAATGGTTTGACTGTGGGGCTGAGTCACTAGGCATTACAAATAAATGTACTTAAAAATATTATACAAGCGTTGAAACTTATATATGTATAATTTGAGACATTTCTAGGTAATATGACTGTAATCTAAATGAATTTAATATTATAGAATGTTTGTGAGGTGTCAATCTTCAATCGACTGGGCTGAAATTTTATATAATTATCTACACGCTTATTATAATGACCATAAATGCTTAGTCGTTGCAATTAACCAGTTTGAAGGGTGTAAAAGCTTGTAATGAGATTACAAAAATACCTTATATGACGCTCCGGAAGTCCCTTTTGGAAATGACACCACAAGTGCTACTAATATTTTTACTATTATCCTATATTATATTAGTATAGGCTGACAGCGCTGAGGGTTAACGTTTTTGTTGTATTGATCAGATAGCGCCAATGCAGCGTGAGATCATGTATAATCAATAGACAATTTCAAGTATCATTGATAATAGGTATATGCTATTCGGCCTACCGAATATTAAAAATAGTGCCCGAATACTGAATAGTCTAATATTCGTAGCATTTCTAATAACAAGGGCGCGAAACCTAATCTGGGTATAGATGGGCGATTTTTCGGATAAATACCTACTGACTGAATACTGGATACATATCCAATTTTGGATAAATAGTCGAATAACAACCAATAAAGACTATAATATTTTGCTGGACATTCTTCCGAAAAATCGCTAAAAGGCCGATAACGCACTTTTAAAGCCTCCGGCCGGTGTTCCAGGTGTCCATGTGCGATGCCGATTGCTTACTATCAAGTGATCCGTCTGCTCGTTTCCCGGCTTATTCCATAAAAAAGAAAAAGAACCTGGGTGGTAAATGACAACAAAATCTGGTTTTAAAACAATTGCTTTTTTATTCACCAAAATACTACTAAAGAAACATATAAAACTAAAATATCAGATCATTAACATAATGGGATATTTTGGACGGAATTATATAATACCGTAATTAATTAAAACATAATTATTGCGAATTTTACGTATAAATTAAATAATATAAATACATAATTTCAAGTTCTGAAGTTCTTTTTATAAGTTCATCAATTTAATTTATCTATAAAGAAAAACGACTGTCCCTACGCATGCAGAATACAGATAAAATATAACATTTATCTCAACAATTCAAAAGTAACAATAATAGTAAATTTGATTTTATCCTCACTACCGACTAAAAGGGTACTACTTGATAAGTAGTTATGTTGAAACTAAAGTTAAGACCAGAATTTGGACGGCCGGAGTACACATAAGACTATATTATCATATCATTATTCATAATAATTATAGTCCCACTGTAACTCAACACTACCAGATACTTTATACAGATAAATTATTATTTTACGTACATAACATTAATGTTTTTATAATAACTATCGTGAGACATACTAAATTAAGTAAAAACGCGGGTTACTCACGTGAATATACTGAGAAAAGCTCTACTAGTTTCGAACCACAGAGGGGTTCTTCCTCATGAGCAGCGTGCGCGGTCGCGGCGACGTCGCGCAGCTCACCTCTGTGGTTCGAAACTAGTAGAGCTTTTCTCAGTATATTCACGTGAGTAACCCGCGTTTTTACTTAATAACATTAATGTATTTAATTTGCGGAGATTTTTAACAATTCCAAATAGGCAGCCCAAATTAAATGATGTACATAAATAAGGGTTGAAATACAATTGAATCCATATCAAAAAGGTTAATGGCTTTTAGGACGGTAAGGCACGAATTTGGATTAAAAAGGTAAGGCACGATTCTCACAATCGGTTTTAAAAAGCAGTAAGTATAATTATAAAAGATAAAACAACAGGTTTATAAATGTGATGTCCGCAAAAAGCCTGGTGGGTTCTCATGTATATTTACACATACCTATGTATCTTTCCTTACAATCGAAATTAATTTCTAAAATATAAATGTTAAAATATTAAATTGCATGTCAATATACAACAAGCTGTATAATAATGTAACAAATTCAAAAAGAAAAAATCTTAAGTTACAACACTTTGTGCTGATTTATGTACACATATGCACTTTATACACAATAAAATATTCAATTAAGAACTTTGTTCAAACTAAATATACAGATGATTGCAATGTCTAATAAAATTGTATATAAAAATATTTAAATGTAAAACAAAATACGTAGCTATATCAGCTGGTGATATGTGGAATATATTTTACGACTGTGCATCAACTTACAAATTCTACCTTAATTATATTTGTATGCACACTTAGTGGGAAATCAGGTTACATGTAAAAATGTAATAATATTTTCATATTTATAACAGTTGACAAATTTATTCTGTGTCAATAAACACATTGTAAGCATTTAATATACTTTCTAATTGTAAATAAATTCATATTTTTACATGTAACCGCAAATAACGCTATTAAAACAGTAAAAGGTACCTATTTGTATTAACATACATATTTATAAAAAATCCTACACTTATGTGTCTTATATCAGTGTCTTCTTAAGTCAATCTAAGGAGTAAAAAAATGTTTTAATAAATTAACACCTTGCCCCTTCAGTTAAAATTTAATAAATAGATCGAGTTACATAGTCTGTCGGAGTTGTGAGAAATACCTACTACTTTAATATGACCCTTTTATTGTCACAGAAATAATGACAGAGATGGCTTCATACAGGGTGCAATGCAGTCTACCATTTTTCTGTTCATCACATGACGCCTATTTAGGAAAATGTATTTTAGTCCAATTACTGCAGCTGCTAATATTGAACTCTCAATGGGTAATCTATAGACGAGACGGGCACACTAGCTCCACCTAGTGAGCAAAAATTCAGTAGCGCCCAAATGAAATTGGGCGACGATTTTTGTAATTAGTCTACTAACGATACTTATTATATTAGACAACTTAAAAAAAATATAACTGCTCTATGCAATCCACCAAAAAAAATATTGTATAGTCAGTGCTTGGAAGTTTTTTCAATATCGACGACGAGATACGACGTACTTTGTTCATTACTTTTAAATGTTTAATAGCGTTAATATCCCTGTTATAATATGACTAACTATATTATGAAGGGATTTCTCTTATGTATTTAAGTTCTTGATTTGCATTTTATTATCTAATACGCAACTAGTACCGTTAGTAGAACCTACAAAAAATGATTCGCGATATCAATTGCACCCTGTAGTAATATTATTGTTTGTACATGAAATGTTATCTTGCCTGAAGAAGCGAGTACTCTTTACCAAATATCATTTATGTAGGTACGATGAACAATTGTATGCGTAGGCCGCAGTTTTGTAATAAGTAAAATATTTCCTTGTTGTTATTAGGTACAGTCAGTAACAAGGGTTATCTTCATATTTCATCTGAATGTCATAATAGGATAGATGACAATTTTTTATTTTAATGTCCGTCTGGTAGATTATTTAATATCATTAGACACATATTTTTTCTTTCTTACGGACACAGATACTTTCTACAATACGATACGTTTTATACTCAAAAGTGACGTAGTTAGTTCCCACTCCAAAATTTGGATTCGTTTTATTTAAGTATTGTTCACAACAAAAAATACGTGTCTAATATTTATTCATTACCTAACGGACGGACTAATTATATTTTTAATTTTCATATCCTGTCATCATCCCTATTAAGGTTGACCATTCAGCATTCAAGATGGCCTTCCCTAATAAAAGCATACTTGGACAACAATTTGATTCAATAACCAGTTATTTTTGAAGTCCTAAAGATGAGTTCTAGTTCTATATCGATTTAAAATCCAGTTTTTGGGCTTCGATAACCATCTACACATATATTTAATGGTCATAAACGGGAAATTGTTCACACCTCAGTACTGTGTGTTTGTATGCGCACTTTTTTCTGACTTCCATTGCGGTTTAAGGGGGGCGAGTGGCCTGAATAGCCCGGGTTTTGTATGCCCAGGCCACCGGGCTCACCTTCTCTTGGCCGCGGCTTCTTGAGGGACGACCGTAGTGGAGACCTGGTGATTGTACTGGCATCCGACATGCCCGTCAGCGTGGTAGCCGTAGTATTCATCGACGCCACGCTCCCGTGACCATTTGTGCTGTACGGCTTCCCCGAAGCATCAGTCATTGAGATTCCTGCAAATAATAATTGTGTGATTTATTGATTAAAAATAATGTAATATTATTCATTCTGAATAGGTAGTTCTCTCAATTTTTTTTTAACTTTTTTCAATGCCCATCTGACAGATCAATTTTATCAAATCATACATTTTATCTATACTAATTTTATAATGCTGACTGCCTCGTTGGCCGAGTGGTCGCAAGTGCGACTGCCGGGTAAGGAGTCTCGGGTTCGATTCCCGGGTCGGGCAAATTACTACTGGGTTTTAAAAAAATCTTAGTAGGACCACGGAGTCTGGAAGCGTGTCCGGTATATGGCAATAGACTCACTCCCTATTACATGGAAATCAGAACATAAATAGTGAAAAGTGGGTGTTATCTCTGTGTGCACCTCTGCCTACCCCTTAGGGGATAAAAGGCGTGATGTTATGTTATGTAATGTTATAATGTTGAGCTGAGAAGTTAGTTTATTACAACGCACTAATCTGCAGAACTACTAGTTCGAATATGATAATCCTTTTGTGTATTGTATTTGTATTGCTCATTCAAAAAGAAGATCGAATTGAAGGCGGAGCAGCGAGTGTAGCCGCGTGGAAGTAGATAGCTAAAATTTATAAAAGCATAGCTTAAATGTTTTTATAATTACCTCTTCCTTCTTTGAATCCAGGGTTATTGATGGTGGTGCCTTCAGGCTCCCCTAGAGGATTAGTCGGGTCACCGCCAGCACGTCGGGAGAACAGCGCGTCGTACAGCGACATTATAAACAGTATCGAGTTGATCACTATACTGACTATCTGCAAATGAAAAATGTATTTGTTTAATTAATTTACAGTGATAAATAAACTACTGCCTCGTTGGCCGAGTGGTGCGACTGCCGGGCATGGGGTCTCGGGTTCGATTCCCGGGTCGGGCAAAGTATTACTGGGTTTTTAAAAAAATCTCAGTAGTAGCACGGAGTCTGGAATTGTGCCCGGTATATGGCAATAGGCTCACCCCCTATTACATGGGACTCATAACATAAATAGTGAAAAGTGGGTGTAACTTCTGTGTGCACTTCTGCCTACCCCTTTAGGGATAAAAGGCGTGATGTTATGATGATGAAATAAACTATAAGTACAATTTTACAAAGCAATTATTATACTTTAACTCTTTCAGTCTTGGTGGTAATTGTAACTATCCACATTTTCTTAGAAACTCAATTTTTTAAGTATGCTCCAAATTACTTTGCATTGGTTTTCAAGCATTTTAGTATAATTGAATAAAATATATTCGTAACCAGTTAAAAGTGTGACTGAAAGAGTTAATACAATCAGTTTTTTAAGGGAAAATGAGCAGAAGGATCATTTTATAAGCAACTCCAGATTTATGAATGCGTTGCCGGTCTTTTGGTGTTTAGGGAAGACATTGACAGATTGTAGGCTATACAGATTTGTATCCTTTAGTACCTTAGCTAAGCATAAACTGTTATCGGTGCCAGGGCTCACATCCTCTTTAGTCGAAACTACATAATTATGAACCACTGAGATGCTGATAAACTAATGTCGGAATACTCAAACGCTACTCAATTTTAAGTCGCGCTTAAGTATAGTTCTGTCTCCACAAATTCTTTGTAAAATGACAGAGATAGCATGATATTTAAGCACGACTTAAAATTAAGTAACGTTTCAGTATTCCGGTATAAGAGCCGATTTTCCAATCATCAGTAATACTTAACTTTAGAATAAAATTGACAGTCGACAGTTTTTAGTATGGAAGAATTGTCAAATGTTCAACGTTATTCCTCAGTTAAAATTTATCTGAGTATTAAAAAATTGGCCCTTGCTTTGATAAATGAAAAAAAGACCTGGTTTTTACACACAACTACTAAATGTGATGGGAACGCCATGCTTCGGCACGAATAGGCTGACTCGACCAGTGATACCACACAGCCTCACAGAAAAACGGCGCAAAATTAAATCAGAGGCCTTACTACAAGTTTGTTTTACGTTTAGAGTATTCGAAACGAGTACGCGTTCGGCGCTCTGATTGGCCGGCACCAATGAAGCAACCAATCAGAGCGCCGAATGCTTACTCGTTACGCGTCCTTTTAGCGGCTTACCGCCGTCCGTGAGTCACTGCAGGGTTGGCACCCGAAAATCAGCGTTGGGCATGTACGCTCAACTTAATGCTGAGATGGAGGCCCTTTTGGCAAGGGCACGCGCCGTTAAATATTATTTATATCTTGTTTTTATAAATTTTTAATTACTGTGTTAGTATTCTATTGTCACTCTGTTGTTATAATCTGTCGTTTCTTTGTGTTTTTTTTTCTATATCTATATAAATATGTGTATTTATTTGTTCTTTTCTTTTTTAATTTTGTATTTTTTTTGTATCTGTGTGCGTGCCTACTGTCGAATAAATGATTTTTCTTTCTTCTTTCATCAACTCGTATTAAGACCTCTGTATTGTGTTGTCACCACCACTTGCCGATTGCTTACCATCAGTTGATCTGTTAGCTCATTTGCCGGCTCAATCCTATAAAAAATGTTATGAAGTAAATATATACATTACCTGCACGTAGAAAGCTTCACCCCTCGTCACGAAGAAGCCCCTGTCATCGCCTTGTACAGCGAACAAACTTGCTGCCACAATTGACAGCAGCGCTGGAAACAATACACATTGTTATCAATACATTAACTTGAACAAGTTAGGTATGACATGTAAGCTGTTACGTTAGTTAAAATTTGACTAAGTATATCGTTGAATGGTCGTATCGTATGCAAGACTGACGAGCACGGGCCTTCGGTTATCGAGACCGGCAATAGGGTAATTTTTATTTTAATGTCCGTCTGGTGGATTATTTTAAATCATTACACACGTATTTTTTATTTTCTTACAGAAACGAATACTTTCGACGAATTATACTGATTAAAAATGTCGCGTGACGTCACTTCTATGTACATTTTATACGTAGAAATTACGTTTTATCTAAGTATTGTTTTATTATACGACAAAATAAAAAAATACATGTCTAATATTTTTTTTTTATTTAAAAAAAAAAAAAAAATTTTTTCATTACTTAACTTACGGACTAATAAGATTTTTAATTTTTATGCCCTGTCATCATCTCAATTATTGAGATTTTATATGGCTTTAGATATTCTCAGCATTATTTAACCCCCGTCTCTTCCCCTGTAAAGAGACATCTTCTTTTCCACCAGTTATGATACCTAAAATGCAGTAGGGGCGAACCCAATGCTATGTTCTGGGTGTTTCTATTCAGCTGACTAAAGGGGCAGCCTGCAACCCTAATATCCCTAAAACCCAAAGGATGGCGACGCACTTGTAACTGCTCTGATATTGCAGGTGACTGAGGCTCGTGAGACTGTCTGGTTGGCCGAGTGGTCGCAATTGCGACTGCCGGGCAAGGGGTCGTAGGTTTGATTCCCGGGTCGGGCAAAGTATTACCGGGTTTTAAAAAAAATCTGAGTAGTAGCACGGAGTCTAGAACTGTGCACGGTATATGGCAATAGGCTCACCCCCTAGTACACGGTACTCATAACATAAATAGTGAAAAGTGGGTGTTACATTGTACAGTGGTTTAATGTGCACCTCTGCCTACCCCTTCGAGGATAAAAGGCATGATGTTATGGTATGCTCGTTTGCCATGCAAAAATAGTTCTTAAATACTTACTGGCTAAAAGCGCCAGCGCTAATTTCATCATGACGAGATGAGTATATTTGAAGGCGACACGTTCCTTTGACGATATCATGGCGAGTTGCAGTACTGAGAGCACGCAGAACACGCCAAGAACGGACACGCCGACCGACGCCACCACGCCCGCTATGTACACCGCCGCTGAAACACAAAAAAAACTTCATTAATACCATAAATACCATAGCTCCATTCTTAACGTGTAAGTTCCATTAAAGAAACCTCATTCAAATAAACAGCCAATAAAACCGTTCCCCTTCTCTTACGAAAACGCAATGAGCCTATTTGACCCTAAGGTGTAAAATCTTCATGGAACCTTCTCGCCTGGGGAGGATGGAAGGACCTCTCAGACTCTTACAAATTAAAACCCACCCGGTGTCCCGTTTTACACGTGGGTACGAGGGTGAGGGAGACACATTCTTCCGCAGCCCTCGAAAACGTGGTCGCCTGCCTTGCCAGGCCCTACATCAAGGTGCACAGAGGAATGAGCTGTCGATCTCTTCCGTGCTACGTCTCGGAACTGCGAGTTGACTACTTCAGATATTACAAGAGGACTAATAAATCCTATGTAATAGATATAAATTAAACATAACAAGGTACTGTAAAAGTAGCCCTTGTATGTGCCCTGTCCATAATAGGCCGACTACACAACTCAAAAATATTATTGAGTTTTATCTTTATACTCTAAACTGTTAGTACTTTTTACAGATGCAATCTGGAATCCGACGCAGTTTTTTTTTATAAGGAAGAAATACCGCTTGTTACTTACATTTAACGCGTTATGTTTTCAGTCAGAAAGTAATAAAAAAGACGTTTAAACAGAACTTCAATTGTGGTTTACAATAATATACTGAAAATACATACTTATTATATATACAATTAATATCAACTATAACTAAATGAAAATATATACAACTTAAAATATAAATAACTATGAACTAAAATATTTACACCTTAACAAAAAAGGTAATAATAAATAAATAAGCTATAATAAGGCATCAAAAAAAAAATTTTCCTCATCATTATCGTGAGGTAGGGTGCCCAAAAGACTGGCAGCATTACCACGTTGAATGGCAATGCTTAACCTTTGTCCAAGGTAGAAGCCAGCCCTTCGATCACCTGAAGTGTCAACCATCCTCTTTACAATATACTTATGTATTATAGGTCAGGTCAGGAAATACTTACATTTAGCTGCATTTAAGTAAAGAAGTGGAGATCGACCAATTAAAAGAACAATAAAAATATTTCTTCACACTGACATTTTTATTAAGGATACTTCACTTAAATACCAAAATAGGTAACTAAAGAACCGGCAACAGGAAACTTAATTTCGCCGAACGAATTTAAAAAAACAAATTATCACATAGCAAATGAGTTTCCACTCACGTGAGCGTCAAGGGACGGGTCTAAACTAGACAAGTGAGTGACAGACTGAAATAAAGGCTGTACCTGACTCACGCGACCACCGCTTTCCTCTTACTCATTCTATTTCACAAAACTAAGGACTTACTAAACTTTGAACGTCGGGTATTGATACAATTGAACATTTAAAGTATGTTGTTGTTATGTATAAAATAAAATAAAAAAAAAACAACTTTTATGCTTAGCATTTATGGTCATGCACGTACGCAACTAAATATATATAAATTTCAGGTGAATCGGTTGAAGATATCAGCTTCATTTAGTTGAAAGATTCAACTTCACACACAGACAATAAAGTGAGTCAAGATATAAACTAAGTCAAGATGATCTATCAGAATTATCTAGGTAGAGGTAAAGATGAAAAATATATATTTTTTATGGAGTAAAGGGCAAACAAGCCGATGGATCACCTGATGGTAAGCGATCAGTGCCGCCCATGAACAACTGCGACACCAGAGCAGTGCGCCGACCTTTTAAGAAATCACATTTCAAAGAAATAGTCTTAGTTATTTATTATCTTAGACCTAGAAACCGGGGCTCTGGCTCGACGTGCAGGAGAAGGAACGGTGTGGTTTTTAGTCAGTAAGAGTCTGACACTCCCTCCCGCCTCACCTAGGTGGGAGCACTCATTCGATGATTGACCCCCCTTAAAAAAAGACCTAGAAATCACCTTCATTAATTACTTCTGTTCTACGGATCTAGTTCAATCTAGTATACCTATTATGAAAAAAAGTAGAGTAAGTCAGCTATAGGGTAGATGCCTTTTATTTTAATGTCCGTCTGGTAGACTATTTTAAATCATTCGACACGTATTTTTTTTCCTTACAGAAACGAATACTTTCTACGATATATTGATTTGAAAAGGCGCGTGACGTCACTTCTATGTACATTTTATACGGAGAAATGACGTTTTAGCCCCCACTCCTGAACTTTGATTCGTTTTATCTAAGTATTGTTTTATTATACGACAAAATAAATAAAATTGTGTCTAATATTTTTTCAATACCTAACTTACGGGCTAATTAGATTTCATACCCTGTCATCATCCCAATTGTTTTTACTGAACAAATTTTCTAATAACTCTTTCAAACTAGATTTTCAGTAACAAAAATTGTCCGCAGTTCACAGTGTAAGCTTTCATGTAATTAGTAAGATAATGTGTTGTCTATGTGTTTTGCATATTCGGGTCAAGCTTCAAGGCTACCCAAATTGTCATGTTTTAGGTCACTTTTAAAAGCTAATGGACTACTCTTTGCTCGTTTTGTAATACAAAAATTAGGTAGAATGTTTTGTGTATATTATGTAATATGGTTTATTATATTTGTTTATATGATGAGGTGTGTAGGGGAGTGTCCTACTAGAATTATTATATCATTAGTCAAATTATGTTTACTAAAGGTATCAAATTAGTAATCGTACCTAAACAATACAGCGATTAGATGATATACAATTATTTATTCTATTCCATTTAGATTAGACGATAGTGCAACTACAAGCAACATTTTAGTTTTTTTTTAATTCTCCACGGACTCTAGGTCCGTGCCCTGATCATACAATTTTAACACAAGCAACATTTAGCTACTACTAATTAAAAGTATCCTTTTTTAAGAGGGGAAATTATCGAATGACTTCTACAGACAGACTACAGACTACAGAGTTTCAGACTCCTACTGACTAAAAACTACCCCGTTCCTTCTCCTGCGCTTCGAGCCGGAGCGGAGCCCCGGTAACCCGTTAGGTTCTCCCCGACAATGAAAAGTATCCTTAACTTACCCAGGGCTACTGTACTAATTTTTACGCATGCAGCCTGTGGGCTAGATTTGCGCATTATTATTAACCGACGATCATGCATGACAAGACTGCTGACTGACTGTCCCTGTTGATGAAGCGAAAGAGGTGTGTGTAAGAATCGTAGCAATTAGCGTTTCATATTATATAGTCTCTGCTTACCTCCGTGGGAGACAGGCGTGAGGACGTGACAGGAGGTTATGTATGTTTTATTTACTAGATAAAGATTTATGTTTAGGATAATATTAGAGCTAAAAATAAAGCATACATTCGTGTGATCGTGTGAATGTCTCTACGTATGTACGTACAACACTGGTTGCAAACAAAACTACGTCAAAGGAAACTGCAAATGAATTGCAAACAACGAGCGACGACCGGACGTCTATATTAGTATCAACAAATGTAGTCGAATCGGATTTGTCCCACGTTCGATACGATTTTTACAACATTATTATTTATAAATAACTCGATCAAAAGGAACATAAAAATGTTTAAATAACCGACTCCGAAAAACAGTAGTACTTATGTTTGTCCGCGACTACGATTATCTCACGATTGGCTGAACCGATTCTAATGGTTTTCAGAAAAGTGTTTGTTACCCTTCGATGTAGGGTTTAGTATATTACCAACTTTTTTAAGTGTGGGAGAGCCATGCTTCGGCACGAATGGGCCGGCTCGACCGGAGTGATACCATGGCCTCACAGAAAACCGACGTGAAGCAACGCTTGCGTTGTGTTTCATCGTGTGAGTGAGGTTACCGGAGGCCCAATTACCCTTCCTTCCCCAATCTCCCCAATCCTTGAATCCCCAACGATCCTCAAACTCCTAATCCCTAAAAAGCCGGTAACGCACTTGTAACGCCTCTGGTGTTCCAGGTGTCCATGGGCGACGCCGATAGCTTACCATCTGGTGATCAGTCTGCTCGTTTACCGGCTTATGCCATAAAAAAAAACTTCAAAAAAAAAAGAAAGAGACTGAAGTCGACTTGTTTAAACTGTCAAATACCAACCGGTCACCGGTGACCGCAACCTATTGTTCTATAATTGTGTCTGCAAAACCGGTACTCGACGAGTTAATCGTAGTTTTCCACTTTATTGTGAAGTATTTGAAATGTCTGTTTCCAATTTCATAAAGCAAGAACTCTGATTGGAATCACAACTGCTGAACACGAAATCACAAGTTCAAATTCTATGAAAGGTAAACTTATCACTCAACAAATCAAATTAAACAGTACTTAAACATAAAACAAGGACCTAATTGTAAGCAAGTTTTTTTCTCATCTGTTACACACTGTGTCTTATGTTTTAATTAGATTTCTTGTCTCAGGTCTACTGGAAGAAATCCCAGCAGGAATAAGTAGCACCTATGTAGGTACTCTCATTTTATATATGTGTTATCCTGTGTGCTGTTTGTGTGTACATAAATCACCAATAAATAAGTACCCCATGAATTCAATTGAAAGAAGTAGGTAAGCCAGAATCGTGTCATGTGACAGAGGTTCAATGTTTAACATATTCATTTACAGAAAACATCAATATAGTATGCTGTATGAGCACCATTTATCAATGTATATAGCTTGCTACATACATACATACAGCTATGTACTATGTATGTGATGTGTGATGACGTAAACCTATAGTTATTACCTACGTTCTTAAATTCTGGCTAGTAAATAAAAATTATGTTGGTATGTAAATTAAATCTGACTGTCATTTACATGAAGGATTATTTTAGTGTTATTAAAATTCGTCTTGTTCGACTATGGATTGGATTGTTTGCAAGCGAAATATTTATTGAAGATTATTAAATTCTATGATTACTTTAATAAGCGATTGATTAAATAAGCGTATGGCTATCTTCTCATCTATTTTTAATCAGTTTTGAGCGGTTTTAAAATATAAAACAAAGCTACAAATAGAACCTAAAATAGGGCT